ATATTTATGATAGTCACGTGCAAAACATTTGGTCCCCTGCCTCATCCATATGAACGTTTATTTGTTTTTAACATATTCAGCTCAAAGAGGCAGGGGAATATAAAATGTGCAATATTTAAATGTCCTATGAAAGTAATTGAATTAGCCCCTTATGGATGCTCAAAACTAATAAGGCATTCACATCTATGCAATTTCACTGAAAATGAACATTTTTTATAACCAATGAAAATGAAAATAAGCAACTACTGTTTGTAGTACTCTCTATAAGCAGAGAAAATGCTGCTTTATAGTTCTGCATACTTTTCTCCCCCATGTTTAGTGATCTATGATGTTATCACCTTTGAAGATTTTTCTGTAACTATAGTATAACACATAAAAGTGAGTGCTTTCTGTTCTGAGTCACATGAAACCATTACCAAATAACGTAGCTGGTTGTTTATTGTATCTGCTATTTAAGAATGGAAGAAAATACACTGCTCATCACATCCATCATCAAGTCACTCATAAATTTAATATATACATAAATATAAAATATGTATCTGTCTAATGGGAAAAAATAAAATTTAGTGTTTACTCCTTTTATCTAACATGTATAACTGTACAACAAACATCACAAATCACTAGTTTTTAGATATACTCTCTAGAGTAGGCATTGATGTTATTTTCTTCCATAGGAAAAATAGCATTTAATAAAAATTAATAACCTAAACTAATTTCTTTCTGGCTACAGAATACACAGTTATAGTAATTACATAAGTCCTACTGCTTTCCCTTTTAAAAAATAATTTCACTTAAAAGACAAGAAAATTGGAAAGTCAGAATTTCACATTGTAAAATCTCTTGTATTCTCTTAAAGCAGGTGTTTTTGTCAAAATAATAGGATGCTTAAATTGAATCCTTTAGGTGGTGAATGTTTTCTGAGTTTTCATGAGATTCAAAGACAGTGGGAAGGATGTCTTCCTATACAGAATGTGCTGATCTGTCCCAAGATAATGTTATGAAACACCTGTGTGGAAGTCATTAGAACAAGATCTTTATTAATTTCACATCTTTTGCTCTATGACTGAATGGTGGCATCCAAAGAAGAGTTTCTTACTTGGAGATAGAAGGATGGACTAAACCCTGACTGCACTCCAGGGTGTAGGTCTGTGTGACCCAAGTATATTATTTACCTTGGGGTTTCATTCCTCCCACAATTGAAGAAATAGCTGATGAAATAAGATCTGCTCAGAACCTTATGAATATTAGGCCCCCAGATAATTATCAGTTACTCTTGTCTTATTTTTTAATTCATACAATGCTTCATGAATTTGATTTCTGAATTATCCCAAAGCAGCAAGTACCTTAACTAGGGACTTGAATTGGAAAAGAAGCAAATGCCCTCATTGCTTGAGATGATGCAGAGAAAAGAGTGTTTGTTCCTGGTTCTCAGCAAGAAAGCATTCTTTCATTTGGAAAAGCAAACAAAACCAAAACCAACACCCAACAGAAGAACCCTTAGGATTATTTTGAAATAAATACGGATTGAAATATTTCGGGGGTTTCTACGCTGGTTGTGGAAAAATGGTCAAAATTCAGTGTTCAGGGAAGGCTATAAATAGGACACATGAGTTAGAGTGCAGAAGCTGTGTCTGCCTTGTGCCTCCTCTCTCTGCCCCGTCAGGGACATTTATGGTAGTAAAATGCTCACATTAGCACTGGGAGCAACAGGAAGATGCACACACAATTACTGTCAGCCTAGCTGAGCCTGTGTCAGCCTTTCCTGATCCAAATGATCTCAGCCAATTATTAAACACTCACCACATGGTTAAGAGCCCGGACAGAGCTTTATTTTGTTAATTTAGTAACAGGATTGCCAACTGTGCATTTTGTATGGCATGATTTAACTATTCAAAGAAATCTACAAAAATAGATTCACAGTAAACCAATATGACAGACTTCAGGACAATCAGAGATTGAAGTACTTATCTCGTCAAAATGTGTTTGACTCATTTGCGATGTTTCCAACAGGAAATAGCAACACTGAAATCATGGAATAACGAGCATTTAAATTAAGTCACCCACTTATACCCAGACATAAAATAAATAAATGAATCTGTATTACACTCAGGGTTATCCTACTCCAGTCAAAGTCTTTGGTTTACTTAGTCCTTTTTACAATGTTTTGCTGTCATTTAGAAATAGATAAATAAAATATAAAACAATAAATAAATACTGCTAGGAGCCAGTCTACCTGGAATAAAATCTTCACTTTGCCACTCGTCAGTTGTGTGACTGAGGTCGAATTGTACTACCCAAGATCTATAATATCCTCAATATTCTCACCTGTCAAGATTGCAGAGGTTTTTTTTTGTTTGTTTGTTTGTTTTTTGGTTTTTTTTTTAGAATTAAGTGAGTTATAATAAGTTAAAACATTTTTAAAATCTAGTATGTATTAATTGTAATAAAACTGGTAATACAAATATAATATATAGAATAACTAATATCGATTAAAACAATCCAAACACCATGCAGGACTGCATGACCTGCTGAGAAAGTGAAACTCATCTTAAAGCAATTACCTTCAAAATTTGCCATTCTACATTATTCAGAAATGTTTTGATGGGATTCCCAAATATACAACTAGTTCCCCAAAAGCATATGAAATCTCTCAAGACTGCGGTCCATGTGCAATATATAATTTTAAAAATGCAACATGCAGTTTAAATCTCAAAAGCTTTCATTGCCCATGGGATTGGTCTCTGTTAGTGAAAATGATTGATAAAGTATATTTTGTCCATGTAAATAACAATAGAATTTACTAAGTGTTTTGCCTAAAAGTATCATTCCTGACAAAGTTTTCTGTCTGAATCTCTTACTCTAGTTTATTGAAAAGAGCTCTGCCCGGGAAAACTCTTGAATTCTTCCTGTTTAGTAGCCCACCTGATTTCTATCATACATTCAATAAGGAAATACCAGGTGCCAAGTAGAGTTATTACTGGAACAAATTTAGTTTAAGTATCTCTCTTCTGTTAAGAATAATATTAATAATTTGATTAGTTTAGGTCACTTGTTCAAATCCCTACTTCTGACTCTTTGAACTTTTATCAGGTTATTTACAGATTTCTGTAAAACAACAATGTAAATAAACTGTTGATCCTTTCACACATGTAACTCCATCAGCTCTCCCTTCTCCTTATCTGTGCATGTTGTTTATGACAAGTTAATGCCATCTCGTTTTTACATACCCACACACACTTCTCATATTCTGTGTACAGTGAGCACCTGCTTAAAGTCACCATAACGTTTACTGCTTGCTACTCCATGGTTTTCTGTCTCAGCGCTTCATTCCTGTGTCTGTGTCCTTAACTTTAAAGTGTGTCTGTTGAAGGTTCTTGCAGTGAGAATGTGGCATAAAGTGAATGGAAAGTCCTGGGTCTTCCTCTAAAACTGCTGGATTCACCATCATACATCAGCGCTCACTTCCCTGCACATAGGACCCCAGACTGACTGCTTACTTCCTCACAGCCCAGGTGACATGTTATCCCAGGGCTGTGGACTGTGCTTTTGCTCTAGAAACTTTTCTTACTTTTTGTTTCTCTTTCATGTAGAAGTTTCTCTTTCTCTGTCTCTTGCTTTTCGATTCTTACTATCTATTTTCCTTGGAAGATATTAAAATTTTGCTATAGTATCTGCAGTTTTTGCTTCAAGTTTATTTTTGTGAGTGTGTGTATAAGGACCCATGAGATTTTAAATTTAATTCTTCCTTCCTGGAACTTTTTCATTCAGTATCAGACATTTTTTTTCTTTCTTTTCCACCACTTAGGTTATTTGTCTGGTTGCTTTTTCTTATATCTTCAGCTGCTCATCATATAATTTACTCAGTTCAATCTTTTATCTGTTTGTTCTTCAAATAAGCCTAATGTATATCTTTATTTTTCCATACACTGTTTATATTTCAACATTTGCTTATTTCTTGCTAGAAGATGCATTTAGCTCTAATTGAAATATGTAAAGATCCTTGGTTATCTTTAGTATCTCATTATCATTTTTATAACTTTATATTTTTTCATTGCTTTAGTATCTTCTAGTCAACACTGTTTTGTTTTTCTTTCTCCTTTTTGCTTTCCTTAGTACATCCTTAGAGTAGGTATTTAAGAGCACAATGCATAACATCACAGTTTTCTGAGTTCTGAACTTGGAAGAAGTACGACATGTATTTTAACACATACATTTGGTGATTTTGCTTCTATATCTTGACACAATTTGGCTTTATGGTGCTCTCAAGTACATGATTAAGTTTGTGATGTGGTTGCAAGACACATATCTTTCTACAGCGGTGTGGTAAATGCTTCTTTTAGAATTACTAGCTGTCTAAAAGAGAAAGGAGGAAGAGTGAAAGTTATTTATTACTAATCAGAGACTTTCACATGGAAAGAAACTTCAGCATTCAAGTGTCCACTTCGTGGTTCACAATAACCTTTTACAGGTTAACCATACCATGCGAACAGGATTCACTGAGTTTTTAATGTTTCTCTTTCTTGTATATAATTCTTCCCACTCATAAGCAATCATTTTGTTTTTAGATTATTTGCTTTTTCTGAAGTAATCCCCTGAAGCCTGATTTATTAAATGTTTCTAGAGTCGTTTTGAATTTTCAGGCAGCCAGGCTTATTTCACAGAATGTTGGAACAAGAGAATTTCAAAGTAACAAAGGCATGAAATAAAGACACAAATGTGAAAGCTGTCAAGAGAATTAGAAAAGTTTCTAGGGGGAAAATAAAAGTACGACTCTTGGAGAAAATGGTGTAGATTTGATAAAGGCAAAATTATGAAAGGCAATATTGATCATGGCATTACATCCAAATATTTCTACTCTTTGACTGTGATTTTTAATTTTACTCATGCAGTAGGTCTCAGTCACTTTCTTGTCTCTGGGGAAACTGTCACATATTTCACAAGCTGAAGTGAGTTTTTGTGTTTTAACTGATGATTTTAGTCCATGATGAGCTGACTCCCAGACATAAACAGCACAGCGGAGGAAGATGGTGAACAAAAAGGTGTACAACTCTTGGCAGCCACAGAGAGAAAGGAGGAGCTGGCCACAAGAGGGCGCCCTTCCTGGCCCAGCCCCTGTGACCACCTCCTACCAGCACCTTTAGCTGCTGAAGTCATCCATGGAGGAAGCGATCTGCGGAGGAGTGTAGCACACCTGTGCGCAGAACACCTCCCTCACACGTGAACATTCTGGTGAGCATTTTAGTCTAAATGGTAGCCTCTTACTCTACCAACGCAGTGTAGCTAGGAGTCCTCAAAGGTTGTGTCAAATGATTTGCGTTTAAACGACTACAAGACAAATTTGGTAAAACTAATAAAATGTCAATGTCCTGAATAATGATCCTAAAAGTTTTAGGACTTCTTGGGCAGTCTTTCAAGATAATTTTCTTCTATCTGGTGAAATAAAGCACTCTTTTAGAGACAACAGCTTATTTTCATTGTAGAGAAAAAATTGAAAATTGCTGTCACTGAAGAATTGTTGTTTCACTACTTCTAAAATTTCTTTTTCACTTATTCTTAAGAGATTTCCTGGTTCTTTTTCCCCTTCTCTAGAGATGACAAAAAAATATGCTTACCTTTTGAAAAATCTAATTTTCATTTTCCAACAAGTTCTAGGACAATTCATACTTAGCTAACATCCTGCCAGTATTCATAGGAGCCAATTTTTTGGCTCTCACATATTTTATTTGTACCTTAAAATATGCATCCATAGCAATTTTAAAATGATTTCTTAAGCTTCATGCTCTGAATCCATAAAAATGGAAATGTGCATCTATAATATATGTTGACTTTCTGAAAAGTTATAATGAAAGCATTTATTAGGAATAGCTACAAATATCAACATTACAACGATTTTATTAGCATTTTAATTATTTCTTACATTTTTATATTAAGTAATTTTACAGAATTCATTATATTTCACCTTGCAAAGAGAAAAAATGAGTTTCATGTTTTAAAAATACAACAAATCTTTTTATACTACAATATTCAGAATAATGATTTTGTCTTGAATTCAAAATAAAAAGTGTGGCAGACACCAGCATACACATGTGCAGAGATAGCACCCATTTCTCCAGATGTTCATGGTTTGTTAAGGCATCAAACCAACAAATCTTACTCAGAGTGAACTATGTCAAGTGACAGTGATTACAAAATGCTAAGAACTGTAAGGGGAAAATAGCTTCATACTGTGTGGGTAATTTAAGACCAAATTGTAAAGGCCAGCTATCCTCATGGGTTTAATTTCAAACTATGTACACTCTGGCTATCATTTTATGTTTCCCTCTAACAAGGATAAGTTCTAATAGAAATTAATGCACATTCTGCAACTCTTTACAAAACAAAGAATAAGAAGCAAATTACTGTTTGTAATTTAATGAGCAAATCTGAAATGACATTTTCGCCACATAAACTGTACTATCACACAGAAGACACATCTAGCAGAATCAGGCTGTCATCAACATGTCAGTGTGGTGCTTTGATAGATACTTTGTGATGTTAATCTGTTAAGGCATTTTTTCAAGAGATAGAAAACTTTCCAGCCTTCATCTTTATTATAGCGATAGGGTCTAAACAAGTCACTAAGTCATCCAGGATGGCCTCAAATTTGCAATCTTCCTGCCTGCACCCCCCCCAGATTGTTGGGATTAAAGATATACTCCACCAGATTTGACTTAGAAATTCCTTAAATACAAAGGATTCTGAATCAAAAGACCAATGTCTTGTATTTGATTGATGGGAATATTTAGCCATGAAGAAATCCTGGTAAAAATCCCAAAACTTCCTTGTACAATTTCCTTCCACCTGCTCAAGAAAATACCTTTCTCCTTAGAGTCTTCTTCAGAGCAAGTTTGACATCTTTGTTCCTCAAGCTATAGATCAAGGGTTCAGCATAGACCTCATATTTGTGTAAAATACTGAGGCCACTTTTCCTCGTCCATAGACTCTACATCAGAAGGTTGGAGGTACATAAATGATGCTGACCCAAAGAAAAGAGAAACAGTCACTATGTGGGAGCTGCAGGTGTTGAAGACTTTAATCCTGCACTGCATTGAGCTGATATGGAGGATGCTGGAGATGATAAAACCATAGGAGATAAAAATTTTGCTGGTAGACACCAAAGTGTTCAGGCCAACCAGAACAAACACCACAAACTCATTGTCATAGGTTCTGGTGCAGGAAAGCTGGAGCACGGGAAAGATGTCACAAACAATAATGGTTGATGGTATTGGCACCAAAGAAAGTCAGTCTCACCATACAGAGAGTGTGGACTAGAAAATATGGAGAAGAGAGGGAGCTGGAGCTCTGGGCTGTCTGTTAGGCCCTCCAAGATAAATTCTGTCACCAAGGAGTGATTTCTGTCATTCTTCTATGGGAATTCATCTACAAAGATGAAAGAAGAGCCAATTAGAGGACAAGTGAACTGTCCACGTCACTTCTTATACATCAAATGTTCATACTCAAGGGCACTTTGGACTCTGGATGTGCAGTGACATCTTCTGATTTTGCAAACTGCAGCATCAGAGGATGGTTCCGGATGCCTGAAAGTGAGAAGTCTGAGAAATTGAGATTTGCACAGAGCTTCTGGAAGGCTTAGGATTTGACAGTAAGGTTGGCATCAAGCAAGCACATGGTAATTTGGCACAGCTATTTGGATGAGGTTGATATTTTAATCTGCACATCTGCTTCACAATGTGAAAATATTAAATATTAGCAGTTTTATAACCACTAAATCTCCTTACATCCCTAGCTTTCACTTGGGTAGGTGGAATTCCATGGCAGGGTGGGACAGATCTGCAGATAGTGGACCTTCGAGGCCTTGTGGGTCAGATCCTCAGATAAATGAGGGTCAGCACTGTGTGAGGTACATCAGTGCAGAAAGGAACGATGGGAACTTCCAGGATTATTCTGCAGTATTCAGTAGGTCAGATGGTCCCAACAAAATCCTACTTCTGCAAACACCAACACTCCTCCGAGACCCCCTCATACAGGTGGCCTTTTTTTATTACTAAATGCCCAAGTATCTTTGTATCTAATATCTTGACAAGCAACAAATGATCAGATCATGTTAACTACATAATCCACCCACAATGAATATTTAATATTTATAAGAAGTATATCAAGCTGGAACTGGGATACTTAATTCAAAATTGACCTTAATTTATAGTACTCATTACTTGAACACATCTAAGAAAAGATACAATTGTGAAGAAGGTTAAGGCAAAGCAAATAATTGAAGAAAATATGAGGCAGTCTATTGTATTGCTGATATGTTAATACTTGAGCATTATAAAATATTAAACATCAAGAATTATCCACAAATCATTTTGGTGGTAGAAGCTGAAGAAAGAGAAAAGAGGACAGAAATATTCGGGGTCTCTACTAGGTCCCAGAAATGGTGCTAGATGCTTCTGATTCATCACGGTGGCTTCTCGGTTGGACAATCACTACAGATACACAGCAATGGGAAATGATTTAAGAAGGCAAAGAAGTAAAAGGGAACAGAAAAAAGAAAACCGAACGGGTTCTAAAATTCCCTATTGTCCAATACAATATGCGTAAAAAAAAGCAATACCAGATGGCAATGCCAAAAATATTGATGACCTTCTGTGTGTCTGTCACTGTTGTGAAGTCTTTCCACATAGCATACTTTGGAAATTTCATCTCATTTCCCTTTTTAAATACCATGTGTGCTCTGGTGACTCAAATAATCATATCTTAGCTAGAACTTTTTCCTGAATCCCTGACTCTGCACCGTATTTCCCACTCAACATATCTGCTGGCCATAAAACAGACATCAAACTTACTATGTGCAAACAGAAAAAATACCTCGCAATTCTGGTCTTTTACCATCACTATTAACCTGTCTGATACCACCTTCCTTGGTTCCAAAAATGTTTCTCTTCTCAGGTACAACATTCAGCAGGTGCCATCCACAGAAAGTTTCTCTGACTTCATTTTGTCACTTCTCTCATTACCAGCTGGATTGTGCATTTCTTTTAACTGAAGTATATTCTGTCTATATGACTCTCTGATTGTGTTTCTGCTTGACTTAATGAGTATTCTTGATATTATAACCTGATCTTAAGGGATCCTTTAAAAATATGAGTCAGAGCACATAACACTCTGCATACTTCAGACTGTCCAAGAGTGTCCCATCACACCTCGAATAAAAGTTCTCAGCAACATTGTCTATTAGAATCTAAATCCACCTAAAATGCCTCATCCTACTACTCTCATTTTCTTTCTTTCTGTTCCTAGCTAGCCTAAATATCTCTCTCTCCCTCTCTCTCTCTCTCTCTCTCTCTCTCTCTCTCTCTCTCTCTCTCTCTCTCTCCTCTCTCTCTCTTTCTCTCTCTCTCTCTCTCTCAACTTGATATTCCCTCTTTTGAAATGTTCTTTCCTCCAAGCACTCCTCTGCTGCCTCTTTCACTACAGTGTGTACTCAGCTCCAGGGCCTTCCCTCAGCTCCCTCCCCAGTCACAGAACTTTACCACTCACATTGTCTCATTTCTTTCAAAATAGTTCTCACTGCTTCATTCCAAATTCTCTATGCCTTTTTATATTATGATCTTCCATTAGAATGCCATGATTAAAAGTGTAGAAATTTATTTCTCAAAATGAACGTTCAGAACACAGAAAATTCTCAAAAGAGTCCTGGAGAATAAAAGACAGCACCGTACTGTAAAAGCTACATATGGTAGAAGCTGTTGTCTTTTATTTGGGAAGAAACTGCAATTCATACAGGAGGGAAACCCCCATGCTTGAAAATCCAGTTTTTTCCATTTCCCTTTCAGCCACTGGCGTTTTATCACCCCTGATGACTAAAGTACAAATGTGATACAAGATAATTTTAACGTTTTACCAAAACGTTAAAAAAAAAAAAAAAAACTTTAGGAAGGAAAACTCAAAAGGAAAATACTTTACATGGAATTAGAGACTTTGTCATCTGAGCAAAGCTTTGGAATCAGCCATGTAGCCTGGTGCACTCGGTCAGGGTGCATCACATTCATGTAGGCACGGGCTTGTTTTCTTAGTGGAAGTGCTGTTTGCTCAGTCACTTCATTTTCATCTGATAACTTGGTTATAATTAGAAACAAAGGCACATTTTCATGGGAACTTTGTGTGTGTGTCATGGGCACAGGTTTAGCTTCCAGGTTTTTTCTCCCTTAAGGCTGTTGAAAG